TCAGACGGGGGAACAATGTCGTAATTCTCCGGCTGACCTATGGGAAGACCGGCCACATCGTCCGAACTCATCTCGGAAATGGTGTTGGGAACCTCATATGTCACCCAAGGAAATTGAGACACGAGGGAAGCAGGGGGAGAATCGAAACATGATTCTGCGGAACCCGACTCATCTACAACCTCCTGAGCACAAGATGCCATAAATACCTAAAACAAAGAGAAAGAGGAATCAGGATAGAAAAAGAATACCTGAATTGCGAAATACATCAGCAGAATGACTACATGATGATGATGCCGAGGAATCAGATATTGTTAAAGGGTTGCCTACTCTCCCTAATGAAGTAACAGATGCAACCCCATGCCGGCAAGAAGCCAGCGTGGACTCCGCCAAAGAATCACAACCTTGCTCAACGAGTGCTGCACTCAAGTAAACGCAAGAATAACACGGGCCACTGATCGGGATAGAGGAACGCGGCATGGTTAAAGGCTGAGACATACATCTCAGAGGTATGCGAGGTTGACGCGAAGTCTCGACTCCGAGTTGGGTAGCAGGGGGTGAAGCAAGCCTATTAATACTATGGCGGCCCCAAACCTGGCGGGATGAACTCCTATCTCGGGAACGATGCAACCCTCTATGTGACAACCCGGACACCCTCCGAGACTTGCCACCACGGCAACCTCGTAGCATAGCTTCCCGCTCTTCCTCCTCGGTCCTAGGGATTCCCCAGAGCCAGAAACGTGCACCAGGGGGAATCTTTTTCAAAAACTCAGGATCCCCCTCCCTCTTCCCTTCTAGACAAAGAGCTGAAGGAGGAGTGTTTTTTCTCCTCATTTGGCCAAAAAGCTGAAAAAGACTAAAAATATCAAATGCAAAAGGAGGACGAGAAGAAGGGCATGGCACTAATCATCAGAATGACAAACTCTGGAAAAAAGGATAACTGACAACAGGAAGTTCTAAGAAATGCAAGCTATTCATCGATTATGGAAAATAGAACAGAAAGTTGACGAAGGAGATATGCAACTTCGCGTTTACAGATGAATGCTAGAAAACAAACAAATACAAAATCTTCAAGTAGAAGAAATAAAGAGGAGATAATGTGCGACATACCTCTTAAAGTAATGAAACGGAAGTGTCAAAATGCAGACGAAGAAAGGTTGATGTGCGACGATCAGAGAGCCCACAAATGAAAATAATGGAATAATGCTGATGCCAAATGCTCAGAAGTAAAACGAAACTAGGTAAGAGGAAGAGAGGACTTATATAGGCAAGACCAAGACCACTGAGTGGCGCATAGCAAAGGTCAAGGCTATTTAGGTCTTTTTGCTCTCAAATCATAACTGCCAGATCGTGGGTGGAAACCGCAATCATCATGCGCGGAAACCACAACACGGAGGAGGCTAAGGGGCAGGGGAAAAATTGCCACTTCACTCCATAAAGCAATGATTTGACAACTGAAACGATGCTGCAATAAATGCGCACGAAATGCAACGACGACATAAGAACGGCTGCAGCACGCTGAAGCACGCGGGCTGGAACACGTGGCACAATGCAATGAGTACAATTCAAAAAACTACATATAAGACAAGGTTTATATATACGAATAGTTGATCACTGCGTTCGAACCTGATGCTTGGGATAATAGTGAACTCACGATTATTCAAAGCCCAGCTTCTACCCGGTCACACAACAAAAACTTAAACGGGTTTGTCAGCAACCCGACCAACAAATCACCAGTCATACATGCATAGCCCAGTAACCCGGATACTTGACGACAATGAGGGAAGGCTAAGCAGTTAAATCACGCGTCATCTACCCGGTTACTTCATGAAAGCATTGACGGGTTCATGAACGACCCGTCCACCAAATAAACATGCAGATACGGTCCGAGATGAGGAATACCGCTGGGGAGCAACCCGCAATTAGGATTAACACAACTCAAGCGTATTCCTAACCCGGAGGCGCAATATGGTTGATGCTCAACCAGTAAAGTAACAAGAGGGAAATGGCGAAACACATACCATAGGCCAAGAACTCGAAATCAACACGCATGTTGACATTAGGATGCAACCCGAAAGAAAGAGATTGAACCCGACTCAGACAGTGGGGCACGTAAAATATCTCACCTGGTTGATGCTCAACCCGTCGACATAAGGGGGCAAGAGACACCCCGCGAGGAAAAAGAACATTCGCTCGTAATCAGAACATGCAAATCTACAACAACGCAAACTCACCCCAGGGGCAAAAACCTGGAAAAATGCAGCACACTTGAGTTCACCCCGACTACTCGGACACCCCGGTAGCCGGGCTGAGGGGCAACTGTTATGGACCCGTATAATGGGTCCATTAAGTAGCAAGCCCAACAAGGGGCAATCCAAGATATGATTTGATACTAATAAAGGATAGATATCCATCAAGGATACTAATCATAATGCGACAGCATAGCTATCAGGCCTGGACCCTCACCAGAGGAACCAAAGGCCCATCCACACTGCCTACAGGTAATCTCTATAAATACAAAGTTAAACCCTAAAGGTACGTACGCTCTCTCTCTTACTGTTATGTTGTCACTGTGCGACACACACACACCCCATTGGCTAACACCGTTATAGTATTCTGTGCACAGTGATCTGCTTGACTCAAGGGTATCTTCTCCATAGATACCTTGGAGAGGGCACTAGATCCAATATCAACATACTAGCTTATTGGGCTAGACATCTCTGTCTCAAGGACAGAATATATATATATATATATATATATATATATATATATATATATATATATATATATATATGATTTTGATGATTTAAAGATTAAATCAAGTATTCAAGTATTCAAGTTTTGTAATAGTTTCAAACTTCACTTATATAGAGCAACAGGTAATAATTTAATCAATGTTGAGGATATTGGAAACTTTCTAACAAAAACTGAGTGTGTTTATAGACATTAGAAACACTTTTTGATGAGTGATGTCAATTACCAATATTCCATTTTTGAGCTAAACGATTACAATGGATTGGCTATGGTTTAAAATGACTATTAATAGGTTTTTGTCAAGAACATGGTAGCATATTACTCTTGGCTGATATATAATAGATGATTAACTCTGCTTTAAAACTTGAAATTTGGTAATCGTTAGCATAGGGTAGTTGTCAATTAGGAGTTTTTTTTTTCTTTTTTTTTTTTTGGTTGGGGGGTGGGGGGATTATTTAGGAGTTCTCTGCCTAAGTGTATAAGAGTATGGTAATTAATTATAGCATTTTAATATGGAAAAATGATTTATGCATTTCCGGCAAAATTTTCCATCTGCCACGGACACCAAATTTGAGAGAGAAACTATATTCTAATGATAGAGAAAAAAAAAACAAGATGAGAGAGAAATGAAGATTTGTGTGAAAAGATTTCTCCGGTAAATGTAGAAATTGTTTTCCCTTTTAATATTGATTTTCTCTTTTCTTATATTACATGAGATAGCATATCTCGTGCCATATAGACACAATAAGTGATGAAACTCATCATTTATTAAAAAACTAAAAAATAAAAAGAGAATAGCATAGATTTCGATGCCTCACAATATAAAAAAATGAATCTCCAAAATAACATAAGAAAATGATTTCCTTTTAATATTTGAAAATTTATTTTAAACAGTTATAACATGTTCACTTGTTATCCGTTTTAGGAAAGGGGATTGCTTCTCTCGTGTAGTATGAGAGAAGTTCTCTTATGTTAAGAGATAAATAAAGTAGGTCCCACCAAATTTTAGAAGAAAAAGAAAAAGCAAAAAGAAAGACACATTTTTCGAAGTGAGAGAGTAATACGAGAGATCAATCTCGTCCAAAATAAGAATAAGAATATGATTTCCTTTATGAAAATGACCAAATGTTGGGATAGGGTGACCTTGCTGTGTCTGGACAACAGCTATCTCGGTAAGTCCACCACAAAATGCTTCCTGAAATCTTGTAAGGCCAACATAGGTGGTTCAGTCATAACTAACTCGAGTCTATCGAAAGCTAACTGAACTTTGGTGTCTCACACAACCTATTTTTCTTAAGCAACGACTTAGTGAGTGGATGAGCAATCTCAGCTACGTTTTCCCAAATTTCCTATATTATCCAGTGATCCCTAAGAAACATGAAATAGGCCACTTCACTATATAGCAGTAATGTTTTTAGGACCTGCACTGACCCCTTCCTTATTGACAATATGGCACAGATAGTCAACAGAATTTGACAGAAGACACGCTTAGAAAGTTTAGCATATAACTGATGCTTCTGCAGTGGCTCAAACACCAGACTAATTTGATAAACATGTTCGTGTAGTGTCTTATTGTTTTCTAATATGTCATAAAAAAATACTAGTAAATTTTTTCTCAAATAAGGTTGAAAAACGTAGTTGATAAAGGATTGTTATGTAAATGTGGTATTGGTTAGCCCAAATGACATCACTAAGAACTCAACGTGACCCAAATGGGTTCTAAATGTGGTCTTGTGAACATCCTGGTTACACATTCTGATATGGTGATATCCAAATCGAAGATCTAAATGTAGTCTTGTGAATATAATTGTTACTCATTCGTACCATGCATAGGCAGACCCCATTATGTAAATAGAAACCATTTTGATTACTTGGTTCTTAGGAATGTCATAAACTTTGATAAGTCTTCAACTTTAAATACCGATTCTTCCACTTAAGTGCTATCAAATTAAGGAATTTCAATTTTGATTCCTTTATGGAAGCAGAATCTTGGATCTATATCTTCTCCTCCTCAATCTGAATCCAGATCGTTGTTTTGGTTGCTTGCAGAATCATTGCTATTAGCCTGAGTGTGATTCACGTGCCCATTTATCCAAAACACTTTGTAGAATCATTGGGTAATATTTTATTAGAAGAAATTATTTTTATCTTTTACAAACTGCACTCATACCATCACGTAGTAACTCATACAACAAATTTATTGGCAATAGCATAGTAACATCCTCAAAATACAAGAACTAGCAAAAGGTCTAGGGATGAGAAATAGTGATATCATACTCCACAACAAAGTGTTCGGATGTGGAAATTTCCCAAAGACTCTTAGCAATGGCATAACCCTTAGCGAACCTGAACACACCAGTGCCTCCAACAATTGGCATTTCTCTAACCGTGTCCTGAACAGGGTTCCTACCAAGCATGCTGAGGGTGCTGCCAGCATATTCACCCTCATTGAAAGCAAAATTGATCAGCATCACCATTCCACGGTCCTGCAATGAAGCCAAACCAAACAACCCTTGAGCTCTTCCAACAGGCTTTGAACTTAGCTCTTGTTCTTCAGTCAAAAGGTTGTCCATCATGAAAGTGGTTCCAAACCCACTTTTAGAACTTGTTGATGGATCAATAATTTCCACAACAGTGGGGTTTTTGCCCTCTAGAATGTCATGGTAAAAGAAGTGCAAATGGGTCAATTTCTCTGTTGGGTGATGATCTGTTGGTAACATGATGTTGGATTGTTCTGAGAACAATCCATTGATAGTAGTTAAGTGACTGGAGATGAGAGTGAGAGAATATAGAAAGTAGAACCTAAGAGGGGTAACCATTGTAGGACAATTTCAGTTAAGTTTGTTTCAGTGGCATGCATTGCGAAAAAAGCACTTATTTGTAGGGGTCTTGAATATTTTATTGTTTCACGTTCTTCGCGGGGCATATTTGTGTAGAATTGTTTATTAGTAAAGAGTGGGACGTGCCATTATTTGTCTTTTTTAAATTGTTCTAGACTTGTAGCGACGTGGGCAAACGCTAACCTTTAACCTTTTTAAGCCCCTCGATTAGCCTCGTAGCGAAGACTGTGGATAGTTATGTAATAAATTATATGTTTAATTTTTTAATATATCCAAAAAAAAAAAAAAAAACCGTTAACCGTTTACATTATGTATACATAATTTTGCTTCATGGTCGTGGCCACGAATAATAGGTGTGTTTGACACAAGCTTATTTGAAAGATTACTCGTATAGCTTGTTTGGTAAACGTCAATGGACATGTTTGGTACATGTAATCAAAATCATTTTACCGTTATCTTCAATTACCACTAATGTCATTTACAAAGAAAAGTTACTATATTAGATTACCTAAAATAACGTGATAATTCAGAAATTCACCCCGTAGGGAAAGCAGGACACCAAATTTTGAGACTAAAATACCCCGCCACACATTAGTCCGGCTACCTAAAATTTAGTCTTGCGCTGCTTTGGTTCGTTGTCAGTAAGCTTCTTCGTCTGGTCTTCACTTCGATATGCATGTACATTGTTGCCCAACAAATGGAAAGGCTTGTGTGGTTCGCCTGCTTTGTTTCATTTGTGTTTATGAGCTTTTGTTTTGTATGTCAGCTTCTGTTTTATGTCAGCTTATTGTTTTTAGAGTGTCCTTCTGTTGGAACTTTTGTGATAAAAACGAAAACAGTATTTGTTTGACAGAGAACAAATACATATATTGAACGAGAAAATAACCAATTTCATTCGTGAAATAAGAACAGAGACATTACAATTTATAGAACTGAAAGAGAAACTACCAACTAACATCATGTTCCTAGAAATGTGCTATGAGAATAGAATTGAAACAAAGCATTAAAAAACTTCCTAACTGACACCTTAAAACTAGGAAAGCAATACTGACATAAGGAGAACGTGGGACATAATCCTAAAGCATTTTCCTAACACTCCTCCTTGCTTTAGGAGCTGCAAACTCCAATTTTCTCCCTTAGAAACTCGAATCTATTGGCTGAGAGTGGCTTTGTAAGCAGGTCTGCTTGCTGGTTTTCAGATTTGCAATAAACCAAAGTCACAAGTCCATTTTTCTGCACTTCTCTTAAGAAAAACAACTTTATGTTGAAGTGCTTGGTTTTTCCATGAAACACAGGATTGTGGGAGATAGCAATAGCAGCTTGGTTGTCAACAAGAATCTTGATGCTTTCTTTCTGCTCCAAGTTGAGATCAATTAAAATTTTCCCTAGCCACATGGCTTGATTCACAGCAGCAGTTGCTGCTATAAATTCTGCTTCAGCCGTGGATTGAGCTACAATTTCTTGTTTTTTTGAACTCCAAGAGAAACAACCAGAACCCAAGGTGAAACAATAACCTGAAGTACTCTTCATATCATCCATGGAACCTCCCCAATCGCTGTCTGAATAGCCAACCAGCTTGAATTCTATGCTTCTTGTGAATTTGATGCCAAAGTTACAAGTGCCTTTGATATATCTGATCACTCTCTTGACAGCTTTGAGATGTAATTCACTAGGACAATGCATAAATCGAGATAAAACACTTACAACATTCAAGATATCAGGTCGAGTTGCTGTTAGATACATTAGACAACCAATCAAACTTCTGAAGTATCCCTCATCAATTTTATCAGCTCCATCTTCCTTACATAGCTTCTCCTTTTGATTCATAGGAGTGCTTACTTCCTTGCATTCTTGAAGCTTAAACTTCTTCAAAATCTCCTTGACATACTTCCTCTGGCAGATGAAGATTTCATACTCAACTTGCTTAATCTCCATTCCAAGAAAGAAGCTCATTAACCCGAGATCAGTCATCTCAAAAACCTTCATCATTTCTTGTTTGAATTCCTGAATCATCCCTGCATTATTTCCTGTCATCAAAAGATCATCAACATAAAGTGAAACTATCATAACATCATTACTCTGATGTTTGACATAAAGAGTGGCTTCAGACAAGCTTTTCTTAAAGCCAATGCTCAGCAAATGGTCATCTATTTTGCTGTACCAAGCTCGTGGAGCTTGTTTCAACCCATAAAGAGCCTTTTTGAGAAGATAAACCTTGTCCTTATCTTCATTTTTCACAAAACCTTCAGGCTGTTCAACATAAATTTCTTCATGTAAGACACCATTTAAAAAAGCTTATTTTACATCAAGTTGATACACTTTCCAGTTCTTTTGAGCAGCTACAGCAAGCAAAATCCTTATGGTGTCCAAACGAGCAACTGGTGCGAAGGTGTCTGAGTAATCCACACCGAAGATTTGAGCATAGCCTTTCACAACAAGTCTTGCCTTATATTTGTTGATAGAACCATCAGCATTCAGCTTGGTTCTGAACACCCATTTGACTCCAATTACCTTCCTATCTTGGGGTCGATCAATCAGTTCCCATGTTCTGTTTTTCTCAATCATAGACAACTCCTCCTTCATTGCAGCCATCCAATTTTGATCTTTCTCTGCTGCTCCAAAATCTGCAGACTCACACACAACAATATTGCACCTTTCATAGATATCAGAGAGTAGTCTAGTACCTCTTGCAGGAGCCTCATCTACCAGTTCATTCTGCCAATCCTCTTCTTCTTCGGTTGTTGAAGCAAGAGACTTAAACTGTAGATCTGTCACAGTTGGATCCTTCTTCTTTACCTCATCCCAGTTCCACTCTTCATCTTCTACGAAGTGGACATCTCTGCTAACAACAATGCTTCCTGTTTGTGGCTGAAAAAGCCTATAAAGATGCCTGGTGATGCTCTTTTATCAAGCTTGTCACGCTTGCTTTGAGGAACATGAGTAAAACACAAACATCCAAAAATTTTGAGAAAATTGAAAGATGGTTTATAGCCATACCAAGCCTCATATGGTGTCTGATCCTTGACAGCTTTTGAGAGAAGTCTGTTTTGCAAGAAAACAGCAGTATGAGCTGCTTCTGCCCAAAATTTCTTGGGTAGATTTTTTTCATGCAACATGCATCTAGTCATCTCTAGGATGTATTTGTTTCTCCTTTCACTCACCCCATTTTGTTGTGGAGTATAGGGAGTGGTTAACTGATGCTCAATGCCAGCTTCCTCACAAAACTGATTGAATTTTTCTGAGGTGTACTCCTTGCCATTATCAGATCTTAGAGTCTGAATTTTCTTGCCACTTTGATTTTCTACTAATTTTTTGAACTTCCAAAATGCTCCATCCACTTCTGACTTGAATTTTAAGAAAAAAATCCAACACATTCTTGTGAAATCATCAATAAAGGCAGCATAATATCGATTACCTGCTAATGAAGGAGTTCTTTGAGGTCCAACTATATCTGTGTGGACTAACTGCAGCTTACAAGTGACTCTTGTTGCTGTCTTCGGAAATGGCTTCCTTTTTTGCTTTCCAAATAGACAGACCTTGCATGTTGGTATATGATCATCAAGTTCTGGAAAATCAGCTACCATCCCCTTGGACTTCATTTGCAGCAACCCTTGGTGGTGATAATGCCCGAGCCTTTTGTGCCAAACTTCTGTGATGTTTTCTTTGATTGAAAAAGCAGCTTGCTCTTCCTCCAATGGATTTAGAGCAAAACTTTTCCCTTTCATTTTTACTTTAAACATATCCTGACTAGCTGCATCTCTAATCAAGCAAAAATTGTCTTCAAAAGCAACTTTGAAGCCTCTTTCAATCAATTGGCCAACACTCAACAAATTTTGTTGAATTTCGGGTACAAAAAGGACATCAGGGATAAACTTTGTACCTGAGCAACTAGTTATTGCAACAGTCCCCTTTCCTTTGACTGAAATATAATCACCATTGCCTATTCTGACTTTGGTGATGTTGGTTGGCTTTAAATCTTTGAAAAGCTCCCTGTCATTGGTCATGTGATTTGTGCAGCTGCTGTTAATCAGCCAACTACTCTCACTTTCTTCACTGCTTGCAAAACACGTGGCCACAAAGAGTTTATCTTCCTCCTCTTCTGGATCAGCAACCTTAGCTTCTTCCTCTTGCTGCTGGTTTTTGCTCTTGCATATGACTGCTTCATGCCCCATTTGATTGCATATGGTGCATTTAGCATCGGGTCTCTACCAACATCTGAATGGAGGATGACCCATTTTGCCACAGTGCTGACAAGGTGGGTAACTTTTCTTTTCACCCTTTCCTTTGTAATTAGTTGCATTGCTATGACTGCTGCCTGGATGATTCTTCTTGTAGTTTCTAGCTTGTTGGCTTTTGGCTAGAAGAGCACCTTCAACAACATGATCTTCCCTCATCAATCTTCGCTGCTCTTGAGCTTGGAGAGCTTGTATTACTTCTGCAAAAGTAATTTTGGACAGATCTTTTGTGTTCTCCAACGAAGCAATAAATGCTTCATACCTCTCTGGCACTGTTACCAGAATTTTTTCAACAATTCTGGAGTCTGCAAAGTTACTGCCTAGTAGCTTTATCTTGTTGGCAATGCCCAACAATTTGTCTGAGTATTCCTTGATTGTGTCAGACTCTTTCATCCTTTGAAGCTCAAATTCCCTCATTAAGTTAAGCACCTGCATGCTTCAAATTCTTTCATCTCCAGCATATTCTGCCTTTAGATAGTCCCAAATTGTTTTTGCCAATTTGAGAGTCATGACCCTAGTGAAGATGGTTGTAGAGATACCAGCAAAAAGACATGATTTTGCCTTTGCTTTGCGGGTTTTTTTTTCCTTGTGATTCTTGATCTGAGCCATGATGGGATTGTCTGGCAGTGGAAGGACTTCATAATCATCTTCTACAGCTTCCCAAAGATCCAAAGCCTCCAGGTAAGCCTCCATTTTGACAGCCCAAAGATCATAGCTTTCCCCATTGAAAACTGGAAGAACTGCTTGAGAAAAACTGGTTTCAGAATCCATTCTATAGGTCCCGTAAGAACAGGGCTCTGATACCAATTGTTGGAACTTTTGTGATAAAAACGAAAACAGTATTTGTTTGACAGAGAACAAATACATATATTGAATGAGAAAATAACCAATTTCATTCGTGAAATAAGAACAGAGACATTACAATTTATAGAACTGAAAGAGAAACTACCCACTAACATCATGTTCCTAGAAATGTGCTATGAGAATAGAATTGAAACAAAGCATTAAAAAACTTCCTAACTGACACCTTAAAACTAGGAAAGCAATACTGACATAAGGAGAACGTGGGACATAATCCTAAAGCATTTTCCTAACACCTTCTTACTTTCGAATTGATGCTTTGATGATATCCATCAACGATGCTCCTGTTTCCTTTGAATTTCCTTTATCTGGTTAATGTTTTTTCTCATATTATGTTTTTGAAGTAAGCGTATTTATCTTAAGAGCTACAACATCAACCTTTCCAATTAAGAATTTTTGTTGGACCATTAGAATGGGAATGTGAATGTGTGCAAGTATATCGAGGTTTGTCAAAGAGTTGTCATCGTCGTATGATGGAGTACTGAGCATCATTTTTTGGCTGCATATGGTCTCTGGGTGAGTCTTATAAGATGAACTTTACCTTCAAGGAGATTCAAAGCATCTTGGAAGACGGCTGTGTACTTTAAGTTGTGAAGGTATACTCTATACGAAATATAGAAATTTATAAGTTGACAGCTTACTCTCATTCTGTTGTGTAATGTTTAATAGAGTTTATATTTTAGACACTACAATATTAATGTAAGAGTGGTATTTTATGAGATGTTGACATTTTAGACACTACATCATTTCTCTTGTATCAAACATACCCTAAATTCACTCTCGGTTTTGCACTAAATGAGTTGATCGGTGTTCCATCCCCAACTAATGCATTATCTCGGTTATACCTCTCATTGAAATCATAATAATCAGATAGGATATTATTACTATCAGTTAATGTTATTATTAATGTCATTACCAGTTTGTTTCACGGTTAGATTGATTATGTTGATCCAACGATTCTGATTTAACTTTCTAAAATCCTTCTTTTTTCTCTCTATATTTTATACTTTATATTTATTTTTACTTGACACGAGCTGTCGAACTCGCGCAAATTAAAAATTAATTTTTTAATTAGAGTTCAGAAAATTTGTAGTAAAGTGGCAACCCTAAGTCGTATTGGTAAAAATCGATTATGAAAACAGAAAATAAAAAGGGGGTTTTGAATTTTGGTTGAATAATTAAAAGACAGAATATAAAAATTGGGATTAAAAATTCTAATTAAAAATTAACCAACCTAAGGTTAGGGTTCCTAGGATGTCCTTTCTTGGATAAAAATTACGAAATTCGCGATTAATCTCAATTGAATCAGAATCCTTATTTTCAATTGAGAACAATCTGATCATCAAATCTGATGATCATTCTTTTCCCATAATCGCAATCGCGAACCTCAGATCGAATATCCATAATCGCACGATATCGATCTGAGTTAGGGAAAAGAGACGAATCTGGTTAGAGAATGATCGCAAATCCTCTAGACAGGTACATGGAATCCCTTCGTCTTAGGTTGATTAAAGGGGTTTTTTAGCCTAGCATGGCTAGGATAAGCATGATTAAAAATTAAAATAAAATAAAAAGAAGAAGAAAAAGATGAAGAACGCGAAGAACGCTTCAGAGAAAGTGCTTTGATCCTCAAATTCGAAAATTACAAAATGACTAAAAGTTTCCTACTCTGCCGTCATATACCCCTACCCAAATCGGGTTAGAGCTCAGTTCTGATCGGCCCATCTGTCTATAATACGAAATAAAATAAATAAAATAAAACTAAAACTTGGCTTTGGACCACTTAAGTAATTGGATTTTAATTTAAATTACAAGTCCAATAATCAAATAAAACTTCAGCAAAACGCGTCCAACTTGGCGTCAAAAATCGACCAGCTTCCAGTCCGAATTGGGTTTCGAGCTCTTCATAAGAATTGTAGCCCTCTGTGTTATCTGAAAAACCCAACAAGAACGGAGTCAATCCGACAACTGTGATAACTCATATTTTATTGCACTTATTTGTTACTCTTGATTAGTATTTTTAGGATTTATTTGAATAAAATAATGATTTTTTGAGTTATAATTCCACATATTTAATACTTTCACATTAAATATTGAGAATCATAACCATACAGAGGTGAAAATAAATATAACAATTGGATCAACATAATTGATCTAACGGTGAAACAAACTGGTAATGATATTGATAATAACACTAATCGACAGTAACAACATAATATAACCCTATAATAATATGCCTTTAACATTTCTATTTGGTTCAGTTATGGGTGGTAATTTGAATTGCCCAGTCATGTTTGAATTGGTGAGAATTTAAAACGACCATGCATATTCTCAACATCGAGATCACACAAATAGTGATTTATGTGTAATAATATATTTGAAATAAACAATATTTAAATAATCTCAAATTAATAAACAAAAAAGAGAAAATTTAGGATAAATACGCAATTATGTAACTATTTAATTTAAAAGGACCAACTGCATATTAACACAAACACGACATAAATGGTTATTTTTCAAGTGAATTCCCTCAACACTAATACAACTTATTTATTATGTGAGTTGAGATAACATTATACAAATAACTCATCAATATTATTTTTCAAATATATATTACTTAAATAATCTCAAATTATTAACAAAAGTGGGATAAATACATAATTATTTGCAATCTCAAATAGCACATTTTTCTTCTTCTTATATTTACTATCTAACAAATTTGTCTTTGTGTCACTAAGTGTTTGTTAAAATATTAAACATAATAACTCAAATATTTGTCAACTCTTCATCTAATTCATTTAATATATATGTCACAAATACACACGCTTCAGAAAAGTCAATTTAGAAACAGCTCTTCATTTATTACATGTTGATATAAAATGCTGATAGTTAAATGTGACAAAATGGGTTCGGCTCGGAGGGCGGCCCACCCCACCTTCCAAACAGGCGGGTTCGCCCGCCAACACATTTTTGCAGTGTTATTAAACCCGGCCCGGTTATCGATATATATATATATATAGATATATAAAAATATATATAAATATGAAATATAAATTCAATTATATTCTTCATATCTAAAATGAATTAAATAAAGTTCATTAAATAAGCTAAAAAACATGAAGCATAAATAAATAAAAATGCATACTATTACTATGTCAATTTAAATTGCAACTCATAATCCGCATAAACATACCTCTTAATGACATTGAACTCATATTTTTCAAATTCAACTACATTAAAAATGACATATGTCACAATCTCTTAATTTATTATTCCGTAAATTGCTTCATTATTGGAAGTTGAAATTTGAGGTCATTGTAGAAGAGTATCCTAACAAATAAAATTACAAAAAAAATTAAAATGAGTTATATTTTTTTTGACAAGATGAAGTAATTTTGATTTTTTTTTTAAATGCATGACATGACCGGGTCAGAGGGTCACCGGGTCACCGGTTTTGACCGGGTTTGGCCGGGTTTTGACCGGGTTTAACCGGGTCGATGCATGACCGGTCTAATGCTTGACCCGAACCGGTCTAGAGACCAGGTCATCGGGTTCCGGGTCGACCCGGCCAGGTCGGGCCGGGTTTTACAACAGTGCATTTTTGTCTTATTAAATGTTGACAGTTAGAGATGACAAAATGGACTCGGTCCGGAGGGCCATTACTGTCTAACTAACACTATGAGGTACCTAACTCCAACTTTTTGTACATGTAGAGTTGATAAATATTTGAGTTATGAGGTCTAATATTTCAATAAACACTTCACAGTTGAAGTTAAATGTGGTAATTCAAAAGACCTTTCATTATCTTAATTGCATAAAATGCAACCATATATTTTTACGATTTGTGTTAATTTTTACGAGTCAAATAAACCGATTTATATTAATCCCCCAATACATCGCATGAGTAATACACTAATATATATATATATATATATATATATATATATATATGTAATATTGACAGGTTTATTCTTTTAGAGATTAATCAACGACGATCGTCGACAAAATTTTTAATCTTTTTTCTCCGTGCATCGCACGAATAATGCATTAATTATTTAATAAGACAAAACACCGACACAATACACGTAATGATTATGAAAAAAAAATGTGTGGACAAGAGAGCACTCCAAATTAAGAAAGCAAAATTAGAAAAAGGAACCCTCTCGATTTCAAGTTGATTTTATATTTCATTAGCAGAGCCAGAGAAATAGCAAATAGTTCAATTAAGCAGCCATAGCCATGGATGCAACTCCAATGCACATAGCAATGTATCCATGGTTTGCTATGGGGCACCTAACCCCATATCTCCACCTCTCCAACAAATTAGCAAAGAGAGGACACAAAATCTCTTTCTTCATCCCCAAAAGAACACGAGCCAAGTTACAACAATTCAATCTACACCCACATCTCATTACCTTTTTCCCTATCAATGTTCCTCACATTGATGGCCTTCCTCATGGTGCAGAGACCACTTCAGATGTCTCTTTCTCTTTAGCTCCACTCATTATGACAGCTATGGATCAAACTGAGAGGGACATAGAACTTCTCCTTATTGAGCTAAAGCCACAAATTGTTTTCTTTGATTTCACACATTGGTTACCAAACTTAACTCACCGCTTGGGGATCAAGTCTTTTCAGTACAATATTGTTAGCCCAGCAACAGTTTCTTACGTTAGATCCCCATCGAGGATGCACCAAAGTGGTAACATGAATGAAATTGATCTTATGCAACCACCCGCAGGGTACCCTTTTTCATCCATTAAGCTTCATGCACATGAAGCAAAGTTCCTTGCGAAAAGGAACTATGAGTTTGGTAGTGGTGTTCTTTTTTATGACCGCCTCAACACTGGTTTAGTCCTATCAGATGCGGTAGGATTCAAAGGTTGTAGAGAAATTGAAGGGCCTTTTGTTGATTACCTTGAAGATCAGTTTGGGAAGCTTGTTCTGCTTTCAGGACCTGTCATACCTGAGCCACCCAGCACTGTTTTAGAGGAAAAATGGGCTTCATGGCTTGGAGGATTCAGGGATGGTTCAGTAATTTATTGTGCACTTGGAAGTGAATGGATATTACCACAAGATCAATACCAAGAATTGTTGTTGGGTCTTGAGTTAACTGGTCTTCCATTTTTAGCAGTTCTTAAACCTCCTATTGGATTTGACACAATTGAAGCTGCTATGCCAGAAGGGTTCAAAGAAAGGGTTCAAGGGATTGTCCATAGTGGATGGATACAGCAACAATTGATTTTGGATCACTCATCTTTGGGTTGTTTCATAACACATTGTGGGGCTGGTTCATTAACAGAGGCACTAATAAATAAATGTCAGATAGTGTTGCTACCACATCTAGATGGGGATCACATTGTTAATGCAAGGATGATGGGTCGAAACTTGAAGGTTGGAGTTGAAGTAGAGAAGGGTGAAGAAGATGGGTTATTCACAAAGGAAAGTGTATGCAAAGCAGTGAAAATTGTGATGGATGACGAGAATGAGCTTGGCAGAGAAGTGAGAGCAAATCATACTAAGGTGAGGAACCTCTTACTAAGCCAGGATTTGGAGTGCGTCTGTGTTGATAGTTTCTGTCAGAAGCTTCAAGATTTAATCAGGTGATTTGATTTCTAAGCTTGGGTACATTTATGTGATTTTAATCAAGGCATAACACTTACCAGCCCTTGCAACATAATTTCCTTCTGTGTTCATCAGCTGACCAGTTTCTAGAAGAGTCCATCTTGTAAACTCTTCATTTTGAGTTGTCAATGTGAACTAGTCTTCGTTCTCGTTTGAGAAAATTTGATACTTGAATTCCCCGATGGGTCCACAAGGAATGAAGACTACTTCACATTGACAACTCAAAATGAAGAGTTTACAAGATGGACTCTTCTAGAAACTGGTCAGCAGATGAACACAGAAGGAAATTATGTTGCAAGGGTTGGTAAGTGTTATGGGTATAATAATCATGGAGGATGCCAAAAATGGGAGGAGATACCCACTTGTAGGTATAAAACAAGGCATCGCACCATTATGCATCCAACATTCAATCTAGGACAACCACAGAGATATGTACTGTCATTGTCCACTAAGATATGGACATATTTTCTCTTCCTCTTTTATTTTCCTTGCAACCTCAATGTACTAGGATGGTATTGGTCAGCTAGTGCATTAAAGCTGATTTCTGAAATAATTGGTTTCTTACCTTCATTTTCTTTCTCATTTTCCCCTTTTGCTCCTTTCCATGCTCAGCACATTCCAGTAGAAAAACTTCCATTTCTCCCTCTCCAACTAACAATATACATTGACCCTTACATCTATGAGAGGGTATATTCTTGTCATCACAGTAAGTAACCCTTACAATATACTGGTTATGTGCTTTTAATAATGTAATCTGGTCAATGCTATAGCTTTCTCATTGTTAGAAATAAAATTCAAGTGAGAGTAAGGGTTAAAAATGGACCAAGTGAAAATCATTTAACATAAAAGGACCCATAGATTCGTTGTATTAAGGTTTTGTGTTGAATTTGGTCCTTGAGTGGAAGTATCCCTTGCCATGGTTTTGCTTCAGCACCTTCAACACAGTTTTAGTGTTGATACAGAGAAGTTCTGAATCTTAAACTTCTCCTATGAAAAGTTGACATTTTACCTTACCACTCATTTGTACCATGCATAGGCAGACCCCATTATGTAGATAGAAACCATTTTGATTACTTGGTTCTTAGGAATGTCATAAACTTTGAGAAGTCTTCAACTTTGAATACCCATTCTTCCACTTAAGTGCTATCAAATTAAGGAATTTCAATTTTGATTCCTTTATGGAAGTAGAATCTTGGATCTATATCTGTTAGGAAATTATATTTTCTAATAATTATTGTGGGTTACATATTATATTAATAATTATATTGTGCTATTTATATATATTGGGTAAATTAAAGTGATCAGTTAAATATTCCCAAATAGATTCCTAAGTGAGTATGGCTGAATGAGTGGATACCGGTGTTGGGCAAACTAAGTATAATGGGAGCTTATTGACCCAACAATAAAGATAAAAACACTATAAGGGTTATGGTCCCCAAGACGTCAAATTAAGAACCCTAGTTTCTCTTCCCCATCAAGAGAGAGACGGCACACTAAGGAATTCGGTTTTAGGGTGATTTGACTGAGGAAGACTATAAACCCCAAGAGACAAGATCAAAGTTATTCCGCTGCAATGGAGACAGGTATGCCTCCACCTTTATGTTCTTATTTCTTTATGATTAGGTATGATGGAGCTTGGCTTGTAAGTGATAGTTATCACCAAAAGGTTTAGAGGAATTAAAAATTCCATCAATTGGTATCAGAGCCATAATCATACTGAATCATAAGGGAATTAAGTTTTGTGATTTTTATATATGCTTCCAATGCTTAATGGGGCAAATTTCAAGCTGTGGAAAGAGAATGTGGAAATTGTTCTCGGTTGCATGGATCTCGACAATGCGCTAAGGACTGAGAAACCCACTTCCACTCAGGAAAATCCAAACACAGATAAAATTGAGAAGTGGGAACGCTCAAATCGCATGTGTCTGATGATCATGAAACGTTGCGTTCCGGAGGCGTTTAGGGGCTCGATTTGTTGAGACTACTGATGCCAAGTTGTTTCTGAAGGAACTCGAGCAATACTTTGCTCGAAATGAAAAGGCTGAAATTGGTCAAACCTTTTCCAAACTCATAAACATGAGGTATAAAGGAAAGGGAAACATAAGGGAGTACATTATGGAAATGTCTAATCTTGCTGGAAAACTAAAGACATTAAAGTTAGAGCTGCCCTCTGAGTTGCTCATATACTTAGTTATTATCTCTCTTCCTGCACAATACAGTCAATTTGTGGTGAGTTATAACACTCAAAAGGAAAAATGGACTCTTAATGAGCTCATTTCTCAATGCGTGCAAGAGGAAGAGAGGTTACAACGAGAGAAGACTGATAGTGCTCACTTGGCATCAACCTCCCAAGACGAGAAAAGAAAGAGAGCTAAGGATAACGCGGATGCTTTGCCAAAGAAGCAAAAGAAGCAAGACCAGGAATTCACCTGCTTCTTTTGTAAGAAATCTGGACACATGAAGACATGGTAAAGACTATGCTTAGTCATTCTTCATTGTCATAATCACTTTGGAGAAAAGCACTAAAGACTGCAGTTTATATCCTTAATAGGGTTTCCAGCAAAGCAGTGACAAAAACCCCTTATGAGCTATGGAATGGAAAGAAACCTAGCATAAGGCATTTACAAATTTGGGGTTGTCCAGCAGAAGCGAGGCCTTATAGACCAAATGAAAGAAAGTTTGACTCAAGAACAATCAGCTGCTATTTTGTTGGATATGCTGAACGTTCTCGGGGCTTTAAGTTTTATAATCCCACTACAAGATCCTTTTTTTGAGACGGGAAACTAGATTCCTTGAGGATGTTGAGTTTGGGGGGAAGATAAAATAAGGAATGTTGTCTTTGATGAGGAAGAAAATTATATTTCTCTTCCTAATATTGTCATCATTCAAGATGCAATTACAGAACAAGCAATTAATGATCAGGTCCCTGTTCATGACATTGTTATGGAACAAGCTTTGGTCCCTAACATTGCTTTAGGTCAAGACAATAATGAACCACCCCCTATGCCACCTATAGAACAAACTCAACAAACTCAAGAAGTGCCATTAAGGAGATCCACTAGAGAAAGGAGAAATGCAATTCTGGATGATTATATTGTGTTTCTTCAAGATCATGAAAATATTTTAAGCTTGAAGGAAGATGATCCAATCAACTTCCAACAAGTCTTAGAAAGCTCTAATGCTCATAAATGGATTGATGCCATGAAAGATGAGATGCAATCTATGAAAGACAACGACGTTTGGGATCTTATTGAGTTGCCTAAAGGTGCGAAACCCATTGGTTGTAAATAGATATTTAAAACCAAAAGGGATTCAAATGGCAACATCGAAAGATATAAGGCACGTCTAGTTGCTAGAGGTTTCACTCAGAAAGAAGGCATAGACTATAAAGAGACTTTCTCTCCGGTTTCTACGAAGAACTCTTTTAGGACAATAATGGCGCTTGTGGCTCATTTGGATTTGGAGCTACATCAGATGGACGTAAAGACAACGTTTCTCAATGGTAACATTGATGAGACAATTTATATGGTGCAACCAAAAAACTTTGTATTGGGAGATTCAAAGTCTATGATTTGCAAATTGAAAAAGTCCATCTATGGCCTTAAGCAAGCTTCTCGTCAATGGTACCACAAATTCCATCAGGTTATTATCTCCTATGGCTTTGAGGTGAACTTAGTGGAAGATTGTGTGTATCACAAGTTCAGTGGGAGTAAATTCATATTCATGATACTATATGTTGATGATATCTTACTTGCCAGTAACGATATAGGCTTATTGCATGAAACCAAGAAACTTCTCACTAAAAATTTTGAGATGAAGGACCTTGGTGATGCATCTTTTGTCTTAGGAATACAGATACTTCGAGATCGCGCTCAAGGTATCCTACGGTTATCACAAAAGGCCTACATTGAAAAGATTTTAGATAGATTTGGCATGAAGGATTGTACGTTCGGAGATACGCCCATATCTAGGGGAGACAATTTTAGTCTCGCCCAATGCCCTAAAGGTAAGCTTGAGATGATAGAAATGACAAAGGTACCTTATGCTTCGGCAGTAGGAAGCCTTATGTATGCCCAGGTTTGTACTCGCCCTGATATAGCATTTATAGTGGGAGTGTTAGGAAGATACTTGAGCAATCCAGGAATGGATAATTGGAAAGCAGCCAAGAGGGTTATGCGGTATTTGAAGAGAACAAAAGATTATATGCTTACATATCGGAGGTCAGATCAATTAGAGATCGTCGGATATACTGACTCTGATTTTGCTGGATGCCAAGATAGTAAAAGATCCACGTCAGGTTATGTCTACATGTTGGCTGGAGGAGCTATTTCTTGGAAGAGTGTTAAACAGACACTCGTAGCTTCCTCTACTATGGCCGCTGAATTTGTAGCTTGTTTTGAGGCATCCAACCATGGGGTATGGCTGCGAAACTTTGTCACAGGGATGCATATAGTAAGTGGTGTTGAAAGGCCACTGAAGATTTATTGTGACAACAGGTCAATAGTGTTGTACTCCAACAACAACAAAAGCTCTTCAAAATCGAAGCACATCGATATAAAGTTTCTGGTTGTTAAAGAAAGAGTTCAGAGTGGTCAGATTTTCATAGAACACATAGGGACGAACTCCATGCTTGCGGATCCGCTTACTAAAGGCTTAGTGCCTAAGGTCTTTCACGAGCATACTGCTCATATGGGTGTTGTTTTGTTCGATGACACTACGGTTTAGTGGGAGTTCTTTATGTTGGTAAATAAATGAAATATTCTTATGTTTGTTTTCTGCAGAATAAAGAATTCAATGATATTTTCCCTCTGAATGTATTATATTTTGTGCTTGTGTTTCTGCTTTGTGTATGCAGAAAATTTAGGATTGATCTCATAAAGATTAAAGTAGGACCAGTTGGAAATAGGCATGGTAAGATCGCATTGCATGTAATTTCCATGCCACTCATCCATACTTGATCTATGTCATTGAATATATTGGTG